GAGTCGTGGGTTCCTGCTCCGCTGGGGCTGCGTGGCCTGGGTGAATGTCCCTGCATCCCTTCTGTCCCAGCTGGCCCTGATCGCTGCTCCTCTCCAGGGTTACGGACTCCACCTTGGGCAGCCTGGGCCAGGCCCTGACAACCCTTGCCAGGCAGGAATTGTTCCCCAGATCCAACCTCAACCTCCCCTGGCACAACTTGAGGCCGTTCCCTCTTGTCCTGTCCCTTGTTCCTGGGGAGCAGAGCCCGACCCCCCTGGCTCCAACCTCCTCTCAGCAGCTGCAGAGCCAGAAGGTCTCCCCTCAGCCTCCTTTGCTCCAGGCTCAACACCCCCAGCTCCCTCAGCTGCTCCTCACAAGTTCTCCAGCCCCTTCTCCTTCTGCTCCAGCCCCTTCCCCAGCTCCGGGGCCCTTCCCTGGACATGCTCCAGCCCCTCCATGTCCTTCTTGTCCTGAGGGTCCCTGAAGCCCCCAGCCCCTGCCATGCTCTGTCCCTGCAGAGCCCTGCAGCTGCCTGCAGAGCCCCAGGGGTTGGTGAGGCCACCACGTGCCAGGGGAGCACTGCTCAGGGCCACCCTGTGCCAGAGCTGCACCCAGGCTGGCTGCTGGTGGGATCCACATGTATGAGCAGTGCAGCAGGGAGCTGGGAATGGGGCTCTCTCCTGACCCAGGAGACACGGATCTAGAGGGGCCCAAGGTCTCCAGCAGCCTGGCATCCCAACACCGATATTGCATGGACTTGATTTCCCTGCTGTTACTTGAGGAACCTGTGAACACACCGTGCCTGTGGATTGGGCAGGGAAGGTGTGTTTATGTTTCACTCATCAGCATCCAACCTTGCTCATCTGAAGAGGTAGAAAAGGACTGGACTGTGTTCATGTTACTGTAAGAGGTGGTCAGGCACAGGTGGGTGCTGGCAGAGGCATTTCTCTCTGCCCATCTGTTTTGCCATTTCCATTGACTGTGTGTCTGGTTATGTATCCTGCTCTCTGGAATGCAACCTCAGTCTCCTGGACACACTGATGGGAACAGCAGCAGCCACATCCATCAGGCTGGGACAGGACAAGCCTCGTGGGTGTGAGAATCCACCTGATTCAGCTCTAGTGGACCTGAAAGGAGGAATCTCCCACATTCAGCCATCTGCTGGATCTGCTGCTGTGTGACAGAACAGGGAAGGAAACCCAATGAACTGCAGCTGGGAGCACAGGGCTGGACAGGGAGCAGCCCTGGCTGGGCTGTGGAACAATGGGAGGGCTGGCCCTTGGACTCACTGTGCAGCAGCTCGACTGCCTGATAGCAGGAGTGCAGGAAGGATGAAGGCTCAAAGCTTTATAAAAAAAAAAATCTTTAGTGTTTGTTGCTCTAACCAGCCCCAGAAATCTGGAGCAAAGGGAATGTGGGTCTGGGGCTTAGGCAGATGGGGGATCCTCTTCAGGGCAGCTCTCCTCTTTATCTGACAAATTTTCATTCTTCTTCTGCAGGTCAAAGCTCTGGAAAGGAGCAGGACAAGGAGCTGCTGAGAAGCATGAGAACAACAGCAACATAGCTGTGGTTCTTTCAACTTTGGTCTAGGGCAGCAGGCGCTCTTCAGAGGGTCACCACCTCAGCCCTTCCAGGCTAGACACCAGCAGCACACAAACACCAGGGTGCCATCAGCATAAGGCACATCTTTCTATGCCTGCAAAGTTCCACCCTTTGCCACAGGCTCTTGTTTCCCTGGGGGAAGAAAAAGCAGAGCTGCAAATCACTCATCAGGAATGCAGTAGAGACTTTCTTACCTCCAGTTCCCGCAGGACCTCGTCCATGAAATCTCCTGAGTTCTGTTTGTAACCAACAGCCAGTTTGATGGCATCATTGAAGACCTGATGAGAAGAATGCTTGTCACTCCAAGTAAGGAGCACCAGGTTTCTGTAACATAGCAAACTATTCCCCCATCCCAAGAGAAAAAACAAAAACAACCTCTGCAGCTACCTATAGATACCCAGACCTCCCAAGCAGATGTACTAGCCCGTTCTCTGCTCTCTGAGCCTACAGCCATCTCCATGTCCTTGGGCTGAAGGGGTCTCATAGGTGCTGAGCCAAACAGCTGTGCTTTACCTTCACGACGTTGGTGCCATCTGCAGCAGACACGAAGTAAAAGGGCAAACTGAACTTCCGGGCAAAGTTGAAGCTCTTCTGGGTCACCTTCATATCCGCTGGGGGCAAAATAAGACGTGGTCAGTGAGACACTGCTGTGGGCAGGACACCAAGGCAGGCAGGAGTGGTGGGACAGGTGGAGAGCAGAGCCCCACAGAGCTGTCCAGGCCTCCTCACTGTAGTACAGGGCTAGGAGTGTCCTCCCCAGAAGCTGCAGGGCTTTAAGAGCAATAACATCAGCAAACCCTTGATGAGAAGACACAGAATGAAAGAGTCCTTGTCACCTGCAGAGGAAGGGGAACGATTTTGCCAGCAGGTGTATTCAGACACTTGAGTAGAAGAGTCCTAGGAACCTGCAGGCTAGATTAGCAACACAAAGGCAGCCCCTGACTGTGTCTAGGGAAGCCACAGGATGGGATATGCTCATTTTCCAGCAAGACATCCTGCAGTTTTAAACTAGGTGCTGCTCCAATCAGCTTTTGAGTTCTTGCTGGATGAAACGGTCAGTGTGGTAAGGGCAGAATTAGAAGGATATCACTTGAATTAAAAAATGGATCAGAATTGTATTTTTAATTGCTAGTAAAACAAGAACTTTGAGTCAGCATGCAAGGTCAGCAGGGTCCCAGCCATTGGTCTGGTAACACCTAGCCCTGGGGGACCAACACTCAGAACTCCCTTGGACCTCACAGAGGAATGACATGCTTTCTCAGCAGGTCAGAAGAGAATCACATCACAGTCTTGAGAGGCTGAAAGAAGATCTACTCACCATCGATTTTGTTGGCCACCACAATGCAAGGGATCTCTGGGCGAAATTCTCTCAGCTCCTTATACCAGCTGTTTAAGTTCTTGTAGGTGACTTTCCGCTGCACATCAAACACCTTTGGAAAAGGACCAGCTGCCCTGGGGCCAACAGCACGACAGCTGCTGACCAGCCCACTGCACCAAACACAAGTACAGAGCCTCCCCAGGAGGACATCAACAAAGGAAACTGTCCTTTGTTGGAAAGGATGAGAGAGAAAAGGGGGAACATCCAGGAAGCCTTGAAATGTGCAGCCTGCCCATTTCTTTGCACAATGCAGGAATCAGCTCCTCCCTTCCCCTTGTACTGTGTGCACTGTGACAACACTCTGTCACCCAGGCAGTGCACAAGCACTGGGCAAGATCTGCTCTGACAGGCAGGGCCAGGGGTAAGGCTCCTGTTTTAACCATTAAACTATCAGTGAAGTTGACTGATCACAGAATGACAGAATTGTCAGGGCTGGAAGGGACCTCTGGAGATCACCCAGTCCAGCCCCCCCTAAAGCAGGATCCCCTGGAGTTCATCACCCAGGGCTGCATCCAGGGGGGTTGGAATATCTCCAGAGAAGGAGACTCCACACCCTCCCTGGGCAGTCTGTCCCAGGGCTCTGTCACCCTCACTGCAAAGAAGTTTTCCCTCCTATTTCCATGTCACTTCCCATGTTCCAGCCTGTGCCCGTTGCCCCTCGTCCTGTCCCTGGGCACTGCTGAGCAGAGTCTGGCTCCATCCTCCTGCACCCACCCTGAGACACCTGGAGGCATTAAGAAGGTCTCCCCTCAGCCTTCTCCTCTCCAGGCTGAGCAGTCCCAGCTCTCTCAGCCTTTCCTCATCAGGGAGATGCGCCAACCCCCCAGTCATCTTTGATGTCCTCTCCTGGACTCTCTCCAGCACTTCCCTGTCTCTTTTGAACTGGGGAGCCCAGGACTGGATGCAGGATTCCAGATGTGGCCTCACCAGGGCAGAGCAAAGGGATGATTCTCATAAGTGATGAGAAATAGTGGGAAGTTAGAACAGCAGCACAACCCAGGAGACCCAAGTGGGTTCAGAGTCAGGAAGCAAGAACACTTTGAGCAATAGATGGGGAGTGCAAAGTACACTCATAGAAAAGGCAGAAGACCAGAGAGGACTGTCGTGTGGTAACTCTGCAGAACTTGCCAGAGCAGTCTTTGCTGCATAACCCACCAGCCACATCCCAGAAGAAAGAAGGAATCCCCTCTCTCTGGCAGCCCCCCTGGCAGTCAGTGGTACATACCCCCTCACTGGAAACAGTGACAAAAATGAGGAAATTCAGCAAACAGCAAAGCCAGGGGACACAGTCAGAGTGCTGTTAGGCAAGACAAGAGAGAGCTAAACATGCCAAACTACATGGGGTTTATCTGGTGTGGGAAGAAAGCAAAGTTTTTAAACCACTGGCAGAGATAAGAAATACAAGGCAGCATAATGATGCAAAGTGACAAACAAACAATGACAGCTGGAACTGGCACCAGCCAAAGCGCCACCAGCCGAGACACTGCCCTTACCATGATACAAGCATGGGCCTTGTGGTAATAGGATGCATGCATGCTCTGGAACCTCTCCTGTCCAGCTGTGTCCCAGAAGTCTGTAAGACACAAACCCCAAGCTTAGAGTGACACAACTTGCCAAGTTCTGTTTTCCTCACAGCTCAAACCCAGGAAGCAAAGCCCAGCCCATCTACTCAGGGTCACAAACGAGGTTTCACATCACTGAAACATCTGAAACATTTCAGGGCTAAGAGATTATGCAAAACTAGGTCCTTTTCTTAGCCAGGCTTAGCTGTGAGTTGTGCTGACATTCAACATTGCACACTCAACCCTTTCAGCAAAGAAGTAATCCACAGACATGACTTACAAAGGACAGTGAGACCAAGCCAATCATAAGTGCAAAGAGGGATAAGAATGTGTGGCACTTTGTCACTAGAGATGACCACAGGAAACAGAATCTAAACATCTGGAAAGGGCTTGATTTAGGACGCAGGGATGAGCAGCCAGGGGCCTGCACAGATGTTCCATCTCCTTTCCCAGACAGTCTAACTCTGCTCTTCCCAGGACACAGCTCCTTCTCAAGCCACAAAGGGTGAGTTAGCCTGAGATAGGTCTCAGTTCCTGACATACCTCCTAGACTGGGTGGGTATCATGAAGGACACCTGAACAGTCATCAATATTTTGGCTACTTTTTCTGTTTGTGTGTTTCAGGTAGAGATCTTCCCCTCCTCTGACTGGATTTGTAGGCTAGTACTTGTGTCTTATTTGTTGTATAAATGTACACAGCTTCAACCAAGAGCCACCAGATGTAGTTACTTCTGTCAGCCAGGCTGAAGCATGTCAAAACACCTAAAGCTGAACAGGACACTCTCCTTAGTGTCCACTTTGCATTGAAATTAGTTTCTGACTGGACACTGTGTCAGACTTGCAGGATGGTGACTTCTTAAACTGCCCAAAATACAGACAAGTGCTCATCAGACCACAGATTTAATTCCTTTTGGGTAGTTTTGCCTCACTGCTAAAGTTGCCTGGTTCTTTTAATGAGACATTTCAGAATCCTCACTTGCAAGGAAAAAAAGAGGTGCCAGTGACCACAACCTACTGCACGTCCCTAAACTAACTTCCCAAACAGCTGCCATGAGAGGACTTGCCATGGCTTCTTGGAAAGCATTGTTTTTATTAGCAAATCCTCCAGATTTGCTGTTATTCGCCTGTTATACGCCATGTCACTCCAGAACAGGAATTTATCAAATTTAAAATCCTTGGGAAAAAATAAGATTCACAAAGAGATGCACCCCATTTTAATGCAATCCTATCTCTACCAAACAGAGTTTGGTGATGGCCACTAAAAGTACCTCAGCAGAGTAAAAATTAAACTAGCAGAGACAGTGGTAATTCTGCACAATTTTAAGTTGTCAGACCAAACTACCTGCCTTGACACATCAGACTTCATGACAGGTCTTCTCTACAAGGTGGCTTGGATGATCAGTCTTATGTTCATAAACATATGACCCTGTCCAACTTGGCCTTGGACACTTCCAGGGATGGAGCACCTACAGCTTCTCTGGGAAACCCGTGCCAGTGGCTCCCGAGTGTCACTACCCTCACTGTAAAACTTCCTTATGTCCAATCTAAACCTGACACCTTTCAGTTGAAAAACACCACCCCTGTCCTGTCGGAACAGGCCCCGCCAAGAAGTCTGTCTCCATCTTTCCTGCAGGCCCCCTTTAACTGCTGAAAGGCCACAATAAGGTCTCCCTGGAGCCTTCTCTTCTCCAGGCTGAACAACCCCAGCTCTCCCAGCCAGTCTCCACATGCCTGTCTTCATGTGGCAACGTCCCCTTGCCACAAAGGAGGCCAATGCTATCCTGGGGTGTTAGGCAAAGCATTCCTTCACTTCTGCTTAGGACTGGTGAGGCCACATCTGGAGTACTGTGTCCAGCTCTGGGCTCCTGCGGTCAGGAGAGAGACATGGACATGCTGGAGAGAGTCCAGCAAAGAGCCATGAAGATGGCCAAGGGACAGGTACACCTCTCCTGTGAAGAAAGGCTGAGAGGGCTGGGACCCTTCAGTCTAGTGAAGAGAAGGCTTGGGGGGGTCTGAAAGAGTAGTTTTGGTTGGCAGGGACCTTTAAAGGCCATCTAGTCCAACCCCTTGCAGTGAGCAGGAACATCTTTGACTAGATCAGGTTGCTCAGAGCCCTGTCCAACCTGACCATGGATGTTTCCAGGGATGGGGCATCCTCCACCTCTCTGGGCAACGTGGACCAGTGTCTCACCACCCTCAGCATAAAAAATTACTTCTTTATGTCTAATCTAAATCTTTCCTCTGAAGGAAGAGTGTAAAGAAGATGGACCCAGGCTCTTTTCACTGGTGCCCAGTGATAGGACCAGAGGCAACAGGCACTAACTGAAACACAGGAGGTTCCCTCTGAACATCAGGGAACACTTTTTTCCACTGTGAGGGTGACTGAGCACTGGCACGGGCTGCCCAGGGAGGCTGTGGAGTCTCCATCCTTGGAGATGTTCAAAAGCCATCTGGACATGGACCTCGGCAGCTGTGCAGGGTGTTGGACGGGATGAGCACTGGAGGTCCTTCCAAGCTCAGCCATTCTGTGATCCCTTCACCCCCCATTTCCCTGCCCACACACCAGCTCGGCACCCCCCTGCCCCCCGCAGGGGTCTCCCTGCCCTGTTTCTGGGTCCCTGCAGCGCTGCAGCCGCCACCGCCCCTATCGCTGTCTCCGTACCCCGCTTCACCCCAGCCCGGCCCCACGGAACGCCCAGCCAGGCCCTTCCCACTTACCCACCAGCACGTCCTGCCCGTCCACCCGCGCTCGGTGCTTGTAGAGAGTCAGGGCGAAGGTGGAGAGCTGCTGGGGGCGGCTGCGCGCGCGCTAAGGACCGACCCGAGCTCAGCGCGGCCCCGCCCGCC